TTTTTACCGCCGCTGGGCGTTGAAATCACTTTAGAACGAGAGAGGTATAGTAGTTGATAGGAGAATCCCCTCAAACCTTAACTTTGCGGACGACATTGTTCTCTTCTCGAGTGATACTACCGAAGCAGAGACAATGTTGAGAAACTAAACGAAGCAGCGGAGCAAATTGGACTGCAAATCAACCGAAGGAAGACTCAGGTCATGAAGAACGTTTTTTTCGTCAAGAAGTGGAATTAAAGACTTTCCAAACGTCATGTCTCTTGTGTACATCTTCGGCATTCAATAAAGGACGACCTGCAAGAAGAACTAAGGTGGAGGCGAAGAAGAGCTCTTGCTGTCTTTGGGCCCCTAAAGGAAGCCACAGATCAAGTGACGGACCCAGAGCTCCAAGTTCCCCTGCCCCCTGTTCCAATCGTTCTCCCAGCGCTCTGTTATGCTGCAGAGACGTGGCTGACGCTGTGGCTACGTCAGTTCATCTATTCGAACAACCCATTTAGGGCTGGCGCATCTTCTTCAGTACACTGATGCACTCAACATCTCGTCGGATTTCACTTCAGATATGGGATCGATGTTACGTCTGATGCAGCTCCACTGCGTCCTTAAAGCAAAACATCGATGGGCTGGTCATATAATGAAAAAGTCAGACGACAATAAATCTGGATCTCGCAAACGTCGCCGCCGCAGTCCAATAGCAACATCATGGATGACGAAAAACAATGCTAGGGCTTGCAGGAAAGACAAGTCATCTACAAATCTAATTATCTTATGCGTTTAAAAAGCAGATCTTCAAAGTAGAATGGGCAGAACTAAATGTATGGGCGAAGGCAGTGTGTGACTAAAGGAATTCTAACATCACACTGACTACAAGTAAGTAATCGAAGACGTACAATGTTCGGTCTACCTCGGTCAGCCACTTCGGTGTTCTCTCGATCAGGTAAGGAGATTGCCAGTCCTATACGATGGCGTAGAGACTCTCAAGAAGCAAGTTGTTTTTAGATAGGACTGTGGCAGTATCTTCAAAAGTCGCTGCTTGGTAGGACAGGCGGCAAGCAAAACCTCCCTATAGGAACTCCTTCAACGTCAAAGAGCAATGGAACGACCTATGCTTATTTTGCTTGTATAATGTGACAACTGGCGAAATGAATAGCGATTTTAAAAGATTAAGATTTCACAGAGTGAAGAAAGCGGAAGTCCATACATTATGAAAATTACCCACCGCTCGGCGTTTCGGTGATGGAAATCAGAAATTCAGGGGATGATGAACGGAGATGTTGTGTTCTTTTTTCAAATGTGTTGTAATAGTTGTCAAAAATGAATAAGGACAAGGTGAGATATGTAGATGTTGGCTTAGTACGATATTTTTGGTGCTTAATTAGTGGTGATGTATCCAAGACTGTGTTCAAAGGCGTTGTAGATGCGCTCAACTATTTTCCTGAAGTATCGCATTATACGTTCGGTCAGGGTTAAATGAGGTCTGTGGCAGTTGGAGAGGGAGGGGATTGATATGGACAGTAAAGCAAATTTCATCTTTTATCCCTTTGCCTCCCCGTTAACTGAACCGTTGAACATTCACAGTTGTTCAATAATGTAATACTTTCTCCCTAAAAAAAGCGAATGGGGAA